CCCCAAAACCCCAAAACCCCAAAACCCCTTGAAAACTGACTTTCTACAGGAGGATTTATAAGATATTTGTAAATTAGATGTCTAAATAATATTATATAATATTAAATGACTAATTCATCTAGGATCCTAGTACTTGCCTCTCTACTGGCTGTGCACTCTGTTACCTCAGCCCAGCAGGTTCATCAACATACAATGGACCACTATAAAACTTTATTTGAGGAGGAAAACCCAATAGTTACTGCTGATGATGTAAATGCTGACCCTGACCTTTATAAAACCTTTTAATAAATTGTAAATTAAAATGGCTTCGCCTATGAGGAACACACTGTTACCACTTAAGATGGATATATTTTGAAAGTTTTCAGAATTCCAGGAATTTCAGGAGAAGCTTCAAATGGCAAAAAGGTAGCATTCATGTAACATGGCATCCTTGACTCAGCTGACTGCTGGGTGACTCATAATTCTGCTGTTGCTCCAGCCTTCCAAATGGCAAGAGCTGGGTATGATGTTTGGTTCGGTAATTCTAGAGGTAATAAATACTCTCACAGTCACAGAAATCCTTCTATCTCAAACTATGATTACTGGCAGTTCTCATTTGCAGAGATGGGAAAAGGTGATCTACCAGCTGTTATCAACTACGTTAGAGCTGTTACTGGCTAAGATAAACTTGCCTATATCGGTCACTCCCAAGGTACATCTCAAATGTACTATGCTCTTGCAACTAATGAAGCATTCTTCGCAGATAAGATAAGCGTTTTCATTGCACTTGGTCCAGTCATGAAACTAACTCATTGTAAATCAAACCTTCTTCAAATAGTCTCCTCCAATGATGCTCTATTACTCGATACTTGCAAGGCACTCGGCATTTATGAGTTTTTCCCAGCTAACTGGCTCACAACTGGTGCAATGAGACTATTGTGCGGTACACTCCCATCCTTGTGCGCTCTTGGAAATTACTTAATTGCAGATGAGGATTTATCTCAAGATGATTCTGATAGATTGACTGTTTATTTCGGCCATTTCCCATCAGGAACGAGTCTTAGATGCCTCGAGCATTACTCACAAATCTTAAAATCTGACAATTTCTAAGATTTTGACTATGGAACGGCTGGAAATAACTAGCACTATGGAACTCCAAATCCACCACAAATTAACCTCTAGGGAATTTCAAAGGTCCCTATTGCAATGTTTGTTGGATAAAATGATGAGTTGGCAACTTCGATTGATAATGAATGGGCAAAGACTTAACTTAACACCTTAGTTTTCTATTAAGAGTATCCTCTCGGTCATCTTTCCTTCATGGTTGGAAAAGATATGTCGTACTTCAACGATGTTTTATCAACTCTTAAAAAGTATCACCCAGCATGAACTGTCTTTAATAGTCATCTATCTCTTAGAAAATAATATAAAATCTACATAATTATTAAACAAAGTAAATCTATTTTAAGCTTATGGGGTTTTGGGGTTTTGGGGAGATCGGAAGAGCGTCGTG